CTGGACGGCCATTTCGTCCTATTGTGGGACTCCTCAGCAGTGCGCATCCACGATCCCGCTCGTGGGATTCGAACCCAGGGCCTTCGGTCTCGCGCGCGAACGCCTAACCAACTGGACCACTGAGCCGGCACCCAGTGGTGATAGTGTCTAACATCAACCAATCCACGAAATTGCGCGACCAACTTCCATTGTACTGAGGTAGATACCTGTCTCTACCCGACATGGATTAGCTCCACTGATCATGGTTGATGTTAGACACTATCACCACTGGGTGCCGGCTCAGTGGTCCAGTTGGTTAGGCGTTCGCGCGCGAGACCGAAGGCCCTGGGTTCGAATCCCACGAGCGGGATCGTGGATGCGCACTGCTGAGGAGTCCCACAATAGGACGAAATGGCCGTCCAGTGCTTCCAGGTTTTCAATGGTGGTGGTCTAACATCAATCGGTTCATGATCTCAATGTTTAAGATTCGTTATAAATGCCCACACAAGAGCTCTCATAAGATCGAACAAAAGATATCTAGGTCTCGCAAACTGGCCAGTGTGTTGAGATTATATATTTCACATTTCCAACTTCAATCAGTTCACTAACCATGTGCTCTTCCTTAGGTAAATTCCTGGAGACTTAATAAAGAACAGTGACCAGTTAATTGCGGCTGCATTAGGAATAGGACAAATATCAATGGTCGAATTGAATGGTTGTTACACAATGTTATAAATTGACTGAAGTTGTGAATATGAGCTACTGGATACTAACTTCACGGACATAAAATTCGAGGTTTGTAAATGAGCAAAACCGAGCAATTCCCTCATTGTCAATTATTAATCAACTAATCTTGATCTGTGAGGAAAAAATAAACTCAATAACTGTATTCATCAGAAATCTCAATATTAATATACGACTACTGTACAATATATTTCAACGCTAAAATAAAGATTTCAAAATGTGAATTGAATCATGCTAAAACAAATAAACCGAAACATTTATACTCGTTATTTTCAAAGATATAATAAAACTAACTTTCAGCAGTTTAAGTATTTGAGAATATGTAGCCTTACGAATAGCTACCAACTCATGGCTAAGTAACCGAAGTAAGACAAGTTGACCACGCCATAAAACAGTTGATGATGTATTTTGATGTTTTACATAGCTGTGAATTTATCAGAGAAAAAAATTATTTAGTATTTACTTTGAACATGAAATGATCAGAAGCTACAATACAGTTTTTTTGAAAAACAAAAGAGCTTAAAATAAGCATAAGTGGAAAAAATATATACATGCAATTATCTGGTACCTTTTGCAAACTGTTCAAATCAATAAGTTGAACTGACTTACAGTCTACACAGGCAATTACGCTACACAATCTAGTAATGAATAAACACAAAAAACATTCACTCAATACCATAGAAATTTTGCTTAACTATCTTTGCTGAATATAGTATAAGTGACGATGAACGAAATGAATAAGTGATGGTTAAACAGTATAATTAGGACGTATTCAGTCGACTGAAAACAGCAATGTACGATAAGTTGACTTGTTAAAGAATTATATTTGCCTTATTTATGTACAATATATAATCCCAATATTAGTTTATACGCTTTGCCATTAAAGGCTAATAATACTACTTAGATAAAATTAAAAGAACATTGAGAGCTGGAAAACATTTTTGCTGCAGAAAACATGAACCTCTCAAATGTATGACGAGACTATGTGCACTCAGCTCATTGCAATCAGACGTTCCTCAAATGCTGTCATAGATCAGTTTTGTCTACTTCTATTCTTACTGTAACAAGCACAGTAAAACGCTTGAACTACATTTCTTCTTTCCTGAAATGAACGGAACTACTTCTTATACATGGAAATAAATTTAAAAACGCCATAGCCCATACTATAATAGAATTTTCGCATACAAAGATAATCCTTTAATCATTAAACATGAATCCTCTCAAAAGTATACAACATAATAGTTATTTTTAAAGAAAATTATCTTCATAACGGACAAACGTTGTGCATTTCAGTACAGTGCCAACAAAACCAATTGCTTTAATCAATCCACAACCTTCGTCTCCAATGACCATGGTGTTAATAAGAAACACTAGTACGAAAAACAAAGTGTACGAGTATTTAAAATAAGACTGACAGAATAGGACTTGAGAACCTAGGTCTGACAAACCAAAAAGTTCTTTCAATGAGGGTCATCATATTCCTCTTATCAATTCGTTATTATTCATGAGATAATACCCCAACTACTCTAGACTCCATTGTTTAAATAACTTATCTTTATTGACCAACTGCCCATCAGGAAGCTGAACAGTTTAATCTAGTGCACAAAATGCATCAGCATAATTATTATAGCCAGTTACTACAGAAAATAGATGACAGAGTTAACCAATATCTGTTGAATGTATGAACAAGTAATCGCGGTCCACCGTCTAGTACTAAACATAACGATTCATCTATCACCAAAATCATGCTAGCAGTAACAGAAGATCAACTCAGTTATTAACACGGTAAGAAGTCATGTTTTTTTTATTTTAACACATAGATATTGGTACAAGGAGGCACCAAATACATATGCACCACGTAAATCCCATTTGGTTTATATGAGAGCTGTGATACTGTCCGGGTGCCCAAACCGATGCAGGTGGTTTCCTTAGGGGGCCACACTCGAAGCCTTCTACATGAAGGTCTGATCCACAAGGCAATGGAGCATCGTAAAGAGATGGAGTTCCATGGTAGCAGGTGACCGACGATTAGTTCATACGCCATTTGTTCCCTCAAGATACTGTAGCTCATGTGCACCATTGGTTTGGAATCAGGGTTTTCCAACTCTCCTAGGTAGACTCTTCATGTCCACCAACCCGGGTAAAGCGCCGGACATTCACTTATCGTCCTCTCAATTTTGTAAACAACACCTCCACCACGAGAAGGCAATGAGTAGGACTTCCCTGGCAGAGGCTATATACGCGTTGACATGTTAGAGCATTTCGAGAGGGAGTGGAATCTCCCCACTCTTGGCCATACCAGGGAATTTGAGGGCTATTCAGTAACAAACCTTACTATTATATATGGATTGCGAGGAACTACCAAAAGTGAGAAGATAAGATTAAAACGAAGATGCCTTCCAGAACCAGGTACATCAACTGATGATACAGGTATTGCACGTTTTTCCTTTTCCGAACAAAATGCTTTTAATAAGTCGAACCACGAAGTTATCTGATGTCGGACAAAATGATTATTTTTATAATTCAGCAGAATTATGTGGTGAATAAATGTGTTTTCAATTCATAAAGATTAGAGCAGTGGCTCAGTTATCGATGTGTTAGGCTTTCCACTTATTTCGGCTTAGGCCTCCACTCACCCTGAGGATATGGCTTGAAGTACGTGAATTCATACCTAGTAAGTTAGATTTGTTCACGGAAATAATTCTTTTAGTTTACAACAATCTAAAAATCCAAGAAGAATTAAAGAGTTCGGAACTTACAATTGACTCAGAAACTCTACAAAGTTAGAAGCGAAACGAGTTGATCCGGTGATTTCAAGTGAGTTCACAGCATCCACAGCCAAATTCAAATTGGTTTCATTAATCTATCAGAGTAAACAAACATCTAAGCTAGATTTTATTATCAACGCAAAATGATAAATAAAAGCAATGAAGTTAGCTAAAACACTACATCAAACACTCAACTATCTTAAGCATTCTTATTTTGAACTCTAATTATTTTCTATAGAAAACAATATTTGTTTTAAACAAAGTACAAATATTTTCAAATAACACTTAACGACAATCTAAAACGTGGTACCTAAAAAACTAAAGTTTTAGTTCAATATTAAGATATAATCAAATGATAAACATATAACATAAAACATATAAGTAATGTATCTAGTTCAAGGAACAGGTACCTTGTCATTAGAAGTAGATAAAAGTGAAATTTCACTGATATCAAGAAAATCAATCAAATGAAAAATAGATGTTTGGAGTTGTTGTAAAAGTAACCAAGTTGTATAAATTGTAAAGTTGAATAAAGCTACATAGGCTGGTAGTCCAATTTTTTGTGATTCATTTCTAGGTTCTGGGTTAATTAGTAATGACATGTCCAACAGAGCAACAGATAACTGGTTTTTAACATTGGTGGGAAGAACGGCCAATGCCTAAATGGACAAAATCTAATTAGTTTTAGCTGTAAAATTTATAACGTTAAGCAATAAAACATCAAAAAATACACTAAGGTGAAATATACAGCTCATTTAACCCTCGGAAATTTATATAAAATAATAACTTAATAATAATGATAACTAACAATCACCATGAGAACCTTGAGTTTTCATCCAATTTATTAGTCTTCACGACTTTATCGATTTCAATTTAGTTTATATTACAAGTTAATATTGGTCGAAGAACCGCTAGAAACTTTAGAGTACAGAGCACTTGTTTCATCTGGATAGAAAGAAGGCTTGTAAATTACTCAATGAGAATCGATAGGCAAATATCTTCTAATCTAATGCGGCTTCTAAAACTGTGCGAGTATGGTTTAATTTATTTGTTTCTTACCTAGACAACTAGTTACACTGGCCCACTCCATAATGTGAGAGAACATCAACTTATGCCATGTGTTTATCCCGATAGCTGAATGTCTGACACTATATTCTGATAGCGATTTGGGAGCCATTAATTATTAAAGGGGAAAAAACAGCCGTCAAATATTAACTAGCCCGGAGATCAACTAAGAGATTTGAATTTCATGTTTAAATCAGGATATATCATGCAATAATTATTTCAAAACAATTTGAATTTGAAGTAGTCTGATTCATTTTATCATGAAAACTATCCGAACAGAATAATCTGGTCTTTAACTGCCTACCATTAAAAATGTCAAGTTTTGTAATTTAGTAAGTTTAATATAAAAATAATCATGATTCTAACTAAATAATAAACATACCGTTTCTGGAGTGAATAAAGAACTAATCAATTGAAATATTTTAGTAATCAAACCAAAATAAGTTTGTCGTTCACATTCACCAGGTAAATTAGCTTTATTAATATAGTTGACCATCTCAAAAGTATTCCAACTTATGAGAGATTCCATGATTGTTGTATTATCATGAACTTGATTGGTTGAATAAAGGGACAAAATCGAACCTAACTGTTCCATACATGTATAAAAGTCAGGTGGCTAAATAAATTACGCAATAAGATAAAATAGAAAAACTTAAGCTTTTTATCTCATTATGCAATAAAATTCAGAAATATTCCATTAAAACTATAGTAAATTCGAATCTAATATTGTAAAATGGTTTAAACTAATGAAACCATCTGTAGAATATAAGGAAAAGAGGTTGAATAATTCAGTTCTAAAGTCAGTATAGTGTAATTTTATAATATACGAAAGTTTATACGATATTTGCTGACTAAATCTTGTAACTGTAGTCCAGGTCGTTAGAATGCTATGTTAAACAATGAAATCAACTAAAGTAAATGAAAAACATGAACTGTAATATCATTCGAGTATAGATTGAAGTTACAGTTTGGTAATTCGATTAAACTTCATTTCAATTTCATTTATTCTTGTAAAATACCAACATTCAAAATGGAACATACACATATTAACTCATCAATTATTTAACATTTCTTCCTATGTGGTCGAGATGTCACCATAAAAAAATGTGGTACGATAATTGGAATTAAGACTAATTAGATTGAGTTATTCAAGCGCTAGAGTCAGTCAATCAGTCAGTCAGCTACAACGTAGGATCAGGCAAATATATGCATCGTTCCAAGTTGCCATATCCAAGTAGCATAACAAGATGAACGTCAAATTCATAGAATCAGTTGCTTCAACGGTAGTAATATATAAAAGAAAGATTGTATATAAAAATATGATACAGAGAGAAATAATTAGTTCGTAGAAAGACAGGTATAAAGTAATTTTTATCTCACGGTTTAAGATAAGACAAATGGTGTATACGCCTACACCATTGTGATAGATTCTGAGCCATGTCACCCGACCGTCGCTGCCACCTTGACGTGGTGGTCGGTCTTGCTTATGATAATGAGCCACTCGAGCTATACTGGCTGGAACAGTCGTTCCTCAGGGCCCTACTTTGCCAGACAGGTCGGTAAGACTAAAAGCAGTAAACCCAATGTCCAAGGGCAAAGTGGTACTGCTGACTGTACAGAGGTGTGACGGCAGTAAGATATTTCCTTCAGACAACCAGCATAACAGCGATGCTGCCTTCCCACAAGAAAGGGTGGGGTTAGAAAAGGTCAACCCTACAAATGCGCACCTCGCCTTATCCCACGGACTTCTATCTCCGTTGATAAAATCTCAACAAGTAAGGAGCCAACACAAAAACTACTCACAAGAAGGTTGTGTGTGACCGGTCTCAAGAATTTGTCCCTTGGGCACTGCGGTCATTCTCTCAGGTCACTAAGATCAACTCTAATCTAATTTTCTTTTCAGGTACCTTTGGAGGTGCTAGAGTTTTCAGATACCAAGTTGAAAACGGTTAATTCAAAACATATAGCGACCACGAATCTTTTTTCAAAAATTAGTCATTATGTATATTGTTCTACGCTTATTTTTCCTGTAATTATGCTAATTAATCTCACAATATATACATCCTATAATCTGAACTTACCAATTCAGAAGATTTAATAAGGTCGACAGAGGGAGGAACAATTAGGAATACTGCGTTGATAAATGACATAGGGTCGCTTGTTTGATTCTTTTGACAAACCTTGTCATACTGATTTGTATAACGATGAGGAGATAAACTAGTCAGTAACAAATTGATCCCAACATCGAGAAGGAGTAGAAAATTAGACTCCAATTTGTATTCCCAGTCATGCTTACTACAACTTGTATTGATGTGTGATGCCTTACAGGCATTTTGTTTTGCCGATTGGTTACGATAATCTAGGACTGTTAATAACCCACTACCTATTACGTTGAATAACTGGAAGCAAAAGTCTAGCATTGAATAAGACTGTTTGTGTACGTCTTCGTCGGAATATCGAACTCTTGTTCCTGGAGTGGTAGATCCACAAACTTGGGTTGTGTTGAGTCATTGATGAACGTAAAAAATGTTTGCTCAGTTTCACTGAAGAGTTTGAAAACAATTAGATTTTTATGGATAATACACAGGCTATAGATAATTATGTACGAATGTCATAACGTGAACGTATTGAAATCAAGTGACCAAATATCTAACTACGGCAATAAATAAGAAAACTAGTCACTTTCCATCTTAGAGTAACCGCATATCAAGCAAAATAACACTGGTTTCATAGGCTTTAAGTTTAATTAGATTATATATTCTTATGTGCAGCTTCGCTTACTTATGTTTTATTTTTATACAGATGAAAAGTCATTGAGAACATTCAGTTGAAATAAACTAAGCTTACCACAAATGTTCAAGTGCTATAGAGAATTTCAATGGCCTGAAAATACTAAAAGCAGGGAGTGTTGTAGCTGTTTAAATCATTATTTCACATAAAATCACTTTGAAAACAATAAAATAGTGACCAAGCATGATCAATACATATCATAGTTAACATAAACGATTCAAGTTCACAACCCAAAATCTAAAATAAGACTTTCACGTCACTACTTTACAGTTCAAAAACAAATAAATGATACTAGGAAACACTGAATTAACATTTCGGAATATTACATCTTATCTGAAATTGAAAATATGAACTACTGGATTACTACTCAGTAGCTGAAATTCAACCAATTATGCGACAAAGAATGAGTGCTTCTCAAAACTTGAAAGTCAAATGGAAACAGACGATGAATAATAAATGATGGAGAACTTACCTCTTACTATTATTCAGAATAGACATCAAACAATGTAAAAATTTCAAGATTAATGAATAAATCAATGTCAAATGGGTCAAATTTAATCGGTATCCGCAATGACTTTGTAGGAAATTGAATATTATAATTATTATTATTGAATATAATGCAGAAACAATCAGGCATAAACTGATATTGGACTTTTATCAACATAAACGAGACATCTAGATGTATACCCAGCAACTGTGGTACCGTGTATGGATCGTGGCTAGCAGTGGAATCCAGAGCGCACATTTTCTTTTTATTAAGGACTAGTAAAGTGGATTTAATTGCATCTCAGTCTTAGTGTTTATGAAGGGACTTGAACCCACAACATATCTATTGTACAAAACTTATGACAATATGGGTAAATCTAGGCGATCCACACACAACGTAAATTTGCTCATTAAGACTGGTTAAAACTCAATGAAGAATATTAACAATAAAATAATTAAAACTTCTACAGATTAGATTGGATGTTACTGTGGTTTCGATTATGAAGTATGCTGGTCAGCATCGACGCACAGTTTAGCATAAATGTGCGTTGACCTACTGTGGTGTGTACTACGGATGTCGACAGATACAACTGTGGTGCGTGCTACTTATATTGATATAAGTAGTATATGACGCGAGTCAGGAATGTAATGTCTGGCAGCAGAAGATGGGGAAGATCAAGAAAGGAAGAGCGGGAATAGAAAGCAATTAGTATGGAAATGCAAGAACAACGAAGTTTGTGACAATTATTGAACATTGTGCAAATTAAGTATTATGGTATGGTTTTTCTATTTTACCAAGTAACTGTAATTTTGTACCGAATATAATTCGATTGTCCCCACCCGTGTTCTCTTCACTACACAAGTAGTATGTTTCACCATTCGGAAGGGGAATGACTGGGGGCAGAAGGTTAAGATCGAAGAGAAGAGAACGAGAATAGAGATTGATTGGTGTGGAAACGAAGGAAGAATCATGTCTGCGACAATTGGTAGACATTTTGCAAATGAAGTATCTACAGTATGGTTCACAGATGTTACTAAGAAACTCTGTAATCTTATGTTTAGGTACACTTATTTTTTCCCATTGGTGTTCTCGTTCACTACAATAGTTTTCTGTACCATATTGGCACGATGAAATGAAGTGAACAAGATCAACACCAAAAGAGGATCAAATAGTAATAATGGGTAAGACCGAATATTGGAATGTTTCGAAAAGACATTCGAAACATTCAGACAGTCCATTTGATTATCAAACTCGGAAATGTTGACATACCATATATACACTTACTGTGTTCCCGAAGGGCCAGAGGACGGCATCCGGTCACCAGTTTCTGAGGTATGTGTTTAAAAAATCAATAGTATGTTTTCTTCATTATTGTTAATTTTAAATCGAAAAACAAAATTAATATGTACATATCTAAAAAAACATCCAAAGGTTCAATGAATATTAAAGATAACTACCGATCGAAGCATTTACATGGTGGTCTTTGTTTATATTTATATATTGCATTTTGACCTAAAGCATCACCCTAAACGAGTTTCATACAAAATACATTTAGTCTATCAGTGGCGAAATATGAGATATACAGATTTTACTGATATAATTACTAACCATTTAGACTCAAGTTCGTGAAATGAACTTAGTTTTAAGAACTGAACTATATGAAAAAAATCAATCTATTCGGCGGGTTTTATTGAAGCCCATTAAGGAGCAACACTAATTTTAAAAAAGGTAGACCAGGAGTGGCAAACTCGAAGTAAACAAGCACGGTTTAAACCCAACGCTTAAAGTACTGGCAAAGTTCTTCATTTTTCGCTAAACATAAATACAAGCCAACTTTAATTTTAACCAAGGTTTTTAATTTCACTCTTTTTTAATGTCTAAGACTGAGAGCTCTACAAAATAAGTGTTCAACTGGTTTCAATCACTGATAATCCCAGTTTGTAGGAAATGGGAAGAATTTTGTGTATTAAAGTTTCTCATAACGCTTAATCATAAACCGAAAATTTCGAGTACACTTAGTACCATTTACTGCAATTCCGTATGATATATGAGAGAGATCAATCACTTGAGAAACTTCACTTTATTTGCTAAAAAGTCAAAAACTGTTTTCTTCTATATATTCACGAGAAGTATGAAAATGGGTGTAAAAAGTAAACACTAAACCACCAATATGATTGCAAGTTAATTCAAGTTGTATAAAAATGATCAACTAAAATTATTTTTCTGAAATATCCAAGTCCACCTATTATATAGACAAATACTTACTTACTTACTTACGCCTGTTACTCCTCGTGAAGGAGCATAAGCCGCTCACCAGCATTCTCCATCCAACTAAACCATACCATATAGACAAATAAGTTGTCTTAAAAGCCCATTCAATACTAAAATCAGATTTGGCTTTTAGAATTCTCTCAAAGCGAAATTCAATAAACCTAATATTTCACTTTTATTCCTCGTATTCCTTCTTATTGTATAAGTTTAATTCATATGGAGAATAGATGCTTGTTTACTTCATGTCCCTAGTTGTGAAAATCTGAACAATTGCCTTCTCCATTACCCGAAACCACAGGCATGTATAGAATCTTATAATAAAACTTATGAGCCATTTTTTAAGAAAGGTAAGCTTACGACTTGAATATACGTAATTGTTAGGATCCAAGTGATAATAAATTCTTGTGATAAGAGCACGACAAAGGCTAATCAAACAACTGGTAGCTGAATAAACGATCTCCAAATTCTTTTCATTTAAAATTCGAAAAAGATTCTACATAAATAGAAACACATGTAGTGATATAAAAATTGTCAAAAACGTGATGGATATAAAATGTGTAAAGTTAAAATTAATACACTTTAGTAAACTACAACATAATCATGTTCAGTATGTTGTCAGTAGCATTTTGAGAAAAACCTCATTTATTGAGGTAGAATTCAGTAAAAATATATGCGTTGTGACGTAAAGTACAAAAGAGGGATTCTGTAAGAGATAAGATTAATAAGTCAGTCATTCTGTCATAAAGAACGTGGAACCCAGTCAGTCAGTCAGTCAGTCAGTAACAACGTAGAACTTCGTACGTACGTACATCAGTTCGAGTTGCCACACCACATTAGCACAGAGATGCACTTGTCGATTCAAATCCCGTCGTGGTAGAGGTAATAAGAGTATAAGCAGTAATCGGGAAGATTAGGGTTTGGAGATGTTATTTAAAGAGTATAATCCAGTGAAAGAAATTTGGAAAGAGGAAAAAAAGGGACATGAAGAATTCAGAAGATTAGAATTTGGGAGAACACAGAGAGTGGATGCACCTGCGCCATTGCAAACGATTTTGAGCCATGTCATTCAGGGTCTCTAACCAACGGTTGCTGTCATCTCGCGGTCCCCAACCAGGTAGTCTACACCTACCAACATGACTCAGTTCACTTGTCAGTGACTTCATGGACTTGTGCCATGTTTTGGTTTGGCCGCCCCTAGCTTTCTTCCAACCTACTCCTATACCACTGAACATAGCACGTCGAGGCAGTCGGTCGTTGGGCATACGTAACACGTGTCCCAGCCATCTCAACTGATGAAGTTTCACTACGTCATCAATTGATTTGCCATCCTTACCTAGTACCCGTTTCCTAACAACTGTGTTACTTACTCGATGGTCCCATGATATATGAGCAATGTTTCGAAGACACCTATGATCAAATACTAGTAACCTACGGATATCCTCTACTCTTACCGGCCATGTTTCACTCCCATAAAGTAGGACGGAACGAACTGCTGCGCAGTAAACACGTCCTTTGGTTGATAGACGGATATCTCGCCTACGCCATAAATGACGCAAGTTGGCAAAAGCTAATCGAGCCTTCTGTATCCGTGCTGAGATTTCGTCACACACTAAACCACAAGGGCTGATGAGACTTCCAAGATAAGTGAAGCGGTCGACACACTCAACTACTTCACTCCCTATCACTAGTTCGGGTGTCGATGTAACCCAATCCTGAAGCAACATTTTGCATTTCGAGGGAGCGAATCGCATCCCGAACATGCTTGCATTGTTGCTTAGAGTGGCCAGAAGACTCTGCATTTTGTCAGTGTCTTCACCAAATAAAACGATGTCATCAGCATATTCTAAGTCAACAAGTGAACCTCCTGGTAGAAGTTCAACCCCTGTAAATTTAGATGAGGAGAGTGTTATCTCTAAAAGTACGTCGACCACAAAGTTGAACAAGAATGGGGAGAGTGGACAGCCCTGACGAACACCACTTGAGGTGATCAATTCTGATGACAGTTCGCCATAAGCTCTCACTCGACCAGTTGTGTTCGAGTAGAGAGCCTTTATAAGGTTAATGTACTTCTTTGGTACTCCTTTCAGTGACAAACACTGCCATAGAACCTCACGATCAATCGAGTCGAATGCCGCCTTAAGGTCGAGAAATACTACCATTGTGGGGCGTCTGAATGTGTGTCTGTGTTCTAGAACCTGACGTAGTGTGAATATCTGATCTATACAACCACGTCCAGGTCGAAAACCAGCCTGGTTTTCTCTAGTCTGCTCTTCACGAGCTTTAGTTAGGCGTCGAAGTATTATTGAAGCTAATATTTTAGACACTATATTAGTCAAACTGATTCCTCTGTGATTGTCACAAGAGGACTTTTGTCCTTTCTTAAAAACTGGCACAATCAGTGATTGAGACCAGTCAGATGGGATTACGTCCAGTTCCCAAATTCTACCTAAGACCTCAGTTAATCTCATTGCTAATACTGGACCACCATCCTTAAAAATCTCAGGAGTAAACCTGTCAGGGCCTGCTGCTCTCCCTCGTTTCAGATTTCCTATGGCTTTTTCAACTTCGTAAAGGGACGGAGGACCTACATTAACTTGCCATTCAGGTTGACTGGAGATCGTGGGAAACCGAAGTGTGGCTGAAGGCCAGTTGAACTGATCCCTAAAGTGTTCTGCCCATCGATCCAATCTCCTGGATTGAGAATGAATAATATGTCCATCTTTCTCTGAGATTGTTTCGCTAACGGTCGGGTTCCTAATTCCGGTTTCCTTAACGAGTCTGAACAATTGTCTGCTATTACCTATTGCCGCTGCCTTTTCCATCTCTCTTGCTTTCGCTACCCACCACTGTTCGCGATCATTGCGTAGACTTCTTGTCAGCTTGCGCTTAAGCTGACTCCGCTCTTCATTATGTTCAGAGCCAGGTGGAATGTGTTTCCGAGCATCTATCAGTGAGATAGATGCTGCTGAGATCCAGTGTTGCTCCCTAACCTTCTGGTTTACCTTACTAGCAGATATCACTGCTGTTTCCACAGCTTTTCGGATATCATTCCATGCTGCATCGGGGTGGGCATCACATACATGGCTGCCTAACTGTTTTCCTAGTTGTTCCTGAAATATACTCTTAGCTTGACTATCATTAAGTAGGGCCCTAAGAGGTTTCCTTGCAGCGTCTTTCCTACGTCCAGTAAGACGCAAGCAAATACGCGCTCGCACTAGAGCATGATCTGAATCTAGGCATGTGCTCCAGAATGAGCGACAGTCTTCTATCGAGCCCCTCCATCGGTGGCTGATAGCGATGTGATCTATTTGGGTCCAACGTTGGGACGAATTAGGGGGTCGCCATGTTAAAAGATGTTTTTCCTTATGCTTAAAGTTAGTATTTGCAAGGAACAGGCGGTTATCTGAGCATAGCTGCAACAGACGGTCGCCATTATCTGTTCTTTGAGCCACGACACCATAAGATCCACCTAGGTGTCTTTCCTTATCGCTTAGTTTACCTACTTGAGCATTAAAGTCACCGGCCACTATTACTACATCCGAGCGCCTAGCTTTTCGGAGAAGGTCCGAAAGCTTTCTGTAAAACTCATCTTTTACATCATCTGAGCTGCAGTCAGTGGGAGAATAGGCAGAGACGACGAAGAGGCAACGACGAGTGTCCCTATCTTTCCGGATTCTTACTGTTCCGTTCAGTCGGACAGCGCACAAACGACTGTCTACTGGGATCCACTCTAAGAGAGCTAGTTCTGCCCTAGGACTCAATGCTATACCTACGCCGGCGAGGCCACGGGAAGCAGAATCAGGGCTTCCAGATACACGAAGCGTAAATCGAGTCGGTTCTTTATTTTGGCATGGTGAGGTCAAATGAATGACGCTACTTGGATCCTGTATGCGCGTTTCGGAGACGCAGCACACATCGATGGCGCGAGATTCTAAAGTTTTAGCTAAGGAAGCCTGCTGTCCTATTTGGCAAAGTGTTCGTACGTTAAAAGCTCCTACGTGTAGTTTAGAGCGTGGTTTCAGGAGACCAGGAATGGCGTTCCACGTACTCGAATCGTTTGCCCTAGCGGTGCGAGGTGATAAAGAGACGTGAGGAGGGTTAGTCGGGAGGATAAGAGAAGTATTAGGAGGTGTAGGAAGGATTTGAATGTGACCACCTTGGTCTCTTGTGCTGTTACGGGTATGAGGGCTGATGTCACTTCCCGGCTGCCCACACCGTGGAAGGGTATTTCTTGAGGAACCTGAAAAGGAAATTGGATTAGTGTTGGTCTTGACGACCTGGGAGCGTGACCGCAGAGCCCAAGGGACAACTGCTTGAGGCCGGTCGCGCACGGCCTTTTTGTGGAAGGTTTTTGACGTGTTAGCTCCGTTCTTCAAGGGGCCTTACCGCCGGAGACGGAAATCCGTGAGGTAAGGTGAGGTGTGCATTTTTAGGGTCGACCTTTTCTAACCCCACCCCTCCTTGTGGGAAGGCAGCATCGCTGTCATGCTGGTTGTCCGAGGGAAACACCTTACTGCTGTCACACCTCTCTACAGTCAGCAGTACGACTTCGCCCTCAGACCTTGAGTTGCTGCTTTTAGTCTTACCGTTCGCCAATCGACCTGCCTGGCATGGTAGAACCTGCAGGAACATATGTTCCAGCCAATATAGCTCGGTTGGGTCATCACGATAGGCAAGCCCGATCACCGCGTCAAGGTAGCAGCTTCGATCGGGACGTGGAACCCGGCAATATATGCATCGATTCAAGTTTCCAAACTATATCAGCACGGCAAGATTCTAGATTAGTAAAAGTAGTGACGATATTGAGTGCAAAATACATGGTCCAAGAAAAAGATGTGCACTCTTGAAGTAACAAAGATTAGGATAATTAAAAGACCTAGAGGCTAAGGGAAGACAAGGAGTGAATGCATCTGCCCCATAGCAAACAATTCTGAACTATTTTATTCAGAGTTTCTGACAACTAGTTATAGTAATTGCTTTGACCACAACCAGATGGTCTGCATCTAACTATATGACTCAGTTCAACGGTTAATGACGTTATGTAATGATGTAAAGTTTAGGTTGACCGATTCTTTCCTTCTTCCAACCTACTTCTACACCAGACACGCGCATAGACGTAAGTGGCGGTTAGAAATATATAATACATGTCCAAACCTCCACAACTGATCTGGTATCCTCACTAAGTACCCAATTTCTGACCTCAATATTCTTCACTTAGTGACCCATAACACACGATCAATGATTAGGAGACACCTATGATCAAACAAAAATCCTCTAGTCTTGACAGTCACGATTCACAAACAATTATTAAGTTATTGAAACTTACTAATCAAGCTTTCAGTAAGGAAGATAAAACAGGATAGAAAACATCAGAAAGTAAGTATAAGATCAAGAATAGTTCGAGAGCGTTCAGTAATATTGTATGTACAAAAAGAAAAGTTTACAGTATATACGAATCTGACCGCGATTTTGAAGTATGGTCAATAACCTTTTAATCTGGTTATTTGCATCATTCTAGGACCTCATTCACGTAGTTCTGATACATCAACAGATCCAACCCCAACATCATTCCCTTTTACTCTTCAATGTCACTTCATAAAACTTAGCTTTTTATAACCTGTACCAAATTTATCAGCGACTGCCTAATATAAAAGAGCTAATCTACGATCAAATTAGCATAAAGAGGATTTCAAAAATAACCGGCTATCTACACATCACTAGTGGCTTTTCTACTCAAATGTTAATCTGTCACTTCCTCAATGGTATAATGATGTTCCTATTGTCCCTACTACCGGCTAGACCAAAGTACAAAAACATCAGTTTGCCTAAAGACAATTTCTTCTTGTAGTCAAAATATTAGGATATCGAGCACGGTTAAAGAGTGATACTCAAGAAAAAAACCTTGTGAAAAAGGTAACTTATACAGATTAAGAGATAGACCAGAAACTTAGCACTTCATAGAGCTGAAGTCACCAAAGTACTGAGATATAAAATGTTAACTTATACAACAGAGAAAACTGTCTTTTACCTCTATGAAATCAGTTCTTTGAAGAAATAATTCAGCTGGGAAGTCTTTAAGTACAACACCATGGAGAAAGCGAATACCAGAAATACAAATATTAGGTTCCTTTGAACAGATAGATCTGAAGAGCCAATTCTTCGAAAAATGAGAATAACCTACTTTAAAGTTGTGCATAAAACACCGACATCGTCTTTTGTAAGCACGACCATGGGAAAATATAAAAGATGATTTCCTAAAATAAGGAAAATATCAAACTAGTTCGGACTGAGGATCAACGTACATAGTTTGCAAAAAATATATTTGCAACATCGGTCAAACTGAAAATCAGTCTCATGAATTTACTAATAGAAACTTCTGATTGAATACACTAGGTAACATAGTTCATAATCATCTCATTTCTGAAGACGAATTCACCACAAGCCATATTTGAAACCCTGAACAGTCTCATCTTATTTATTTTTCCTTTTCGGCTGACGGCAATGCTGCCAGCTCAAATTTCCTTTGTGTTGTGATTTTCTGTTTGTCCTGTTTATGAGCTTAACAAGTCAAATATGAAGCGTCTAATAACCCAAGTTTCTTATACCACATCTATATCACATTCTAGTAATTAGGAAGTCTAACCCTGAATACATGTAATATTACTATTATATACGATGAAGAAAGATGAAAGACGAAACTTATAATATAAATAAACAGGATGTAACAAAAACCGTCTACAATATCAGTGTAATTACATTTTTGCCATAACCACACAGTGGTGGAAATAACCTAATTTGGTGGTGAAACTCAGAAGAAAGTTGTGAGTTACTTTTAAAAACATGGTTTCATATACTTTTACTAGATATACTAGCTATTTGCATAAATGAATCACTATTGTGTTACGAACATGCACAATTAGTACTGAACTTACGTTGTGCTACGAGGAAAAAAATACTTCAAGACATTTTAACCAACTAAGTAACTTAAGTAATTAAGGTTTTTACCGAAACTATCAGCCATCTTTTTCATTACCTAGATCATGTATTAATTTAGAGTCCAGAAAATGAATTCTCATCTGATGGTTAATTCTACGTCGATCATCTCTATACCAACCCGGATTGATTTAATGCACTTTGAATTCTACTATGTAAAGACAACGGTTTGATCTCGTTCAGTTATATATCTTTTGAACATCTTATTAAGTTGATGTTAAAAGTCGTCAGTCATTAGGCAAGATGCTGTAAATAGTTCCTACGACTGATCTTCCCAAATTTGGAAAAAAAGACGAGTAAATCTTTCCTGGTGCTAGCAAAGCACAAACTCTAGTTTTGAAGTAAATGAATGAGGTATGTTTGTTTTATGAATGTACATAAACCATGATCATTAACGAGGACTAAAGGACTTAACTACTTTTTTGCCACTTAATATATATTACACCGTTACTGGGTACTTTCCATCTACTTCATGAAAGCAAACGAAAAACTTACGACAGACTTGGTTGAATGAATAGGACGATGTAAAACGGTTTAAATCTAAGTTATTGGTATTTCCTTGTGTAACAGATAAATTGGACGAACCTTTACGAGTTTGCAAGAAATCTGGTGAAGTAGGCATTACAAAATTGGATTCAGTAGAATTTAGATCACTAGACTCCTGTATTCCTTTCAGAGTGTTATTCTTGAAATCTCTGGTTGTTTCAATTAAGGACGGATCCTCAGTAATCAAAACGCATATGTCATCAATATCCCTTTTTAATTCACTGTTTGATGTCGAATTACGCATCTTTGTGAGTACAGAACATCCTCCAGCTAATGCTAAAAGTGTTTTGGTTTCGGGATTCTAGAACAAAGACTAGGTAATTAATCCCAAGCCTTACCAGAAGCAGTTTTTTGAGTATCGTAAATATGCGATTGGTTTCAAAAGATGGACTCTGCTCCAAAGAGAACAGCAATACTTTAACAAGTTTCGACAGACACTTCTTATCTGATGGCAATAAACCTCGATTTAATTTCGACTGAATATTGGCTAAAGTACGACATCTGATCTCTTCTACAGGATTATCTTCTAAACGAATCAAAGTTTATTTTTACGTCACTTACTCAGTTTTTCGATGAGAAGGTTGAACTGGTCAGTATTACACATTCGGAAAGAGTGACAAATTTATTTGCGTCCTTCTCACTACTAAGTCGTATTTCCGCAAAAAGTGTTAGAAACCAATCAGATTACTGTATTTCTGATGACCTTAAAAGTAAAGAACCACTTTTTCCTTGGGATGTGTAATGAATTTAAACCTGACATTACCACTCCTAGTTCTAATCTTCAAGTTGTTTTATCTGGTAGCTTCGTTACTACAAATCTACCATCCAATATTTTTTTGCACACTATTGCATATACCAACGGATTCGTTTGCATTCACTTCTTGTTTTAAGATAATGTTCCAGGTATTTGTTGATGATTAATCGACGGCGTCCTAACCACTCTGATTTATTACTTCTAGCAGTTTTGTAGTTATTAATCGACTTTTACATCTTTTAGTTTTAGTGGGTAGGTTTGTCTCAAGGAAGTAGGGATCCTGGATACTAGCAGCTGTCGTAGGAAATAATTACTGATATATAGTAATGATAACCGTGACAATTTATCGGAAATGCATCAGATGGCATGTCCAAGAGAAGGATGGTAATTCATTGATGAGTACGATCTCGTCAATTCTCTTCTTAATGCTAACCACTGATGGGGTTGTGGTCACTTCGGCTGGAAGTGCATTTCGAATGGAGGCAGCTTACTTTACCTAGGCCTCCTACCCCTTGTGGAGTAGCTTAGGCCGCCCACCAGCATCCTTTATCCAACTTTGTCAATGGAAATTTTTTCCAGATGTCTCCTGTCGCCATTCATTCCTTTGATGTCTGCTTCCGACTCTCACCGCAGCGTGTTCATTAGTCTTCCCTATTTTCCATCTGCAAGTTGGCGACTGCTTTGTTATGCAGTTTGATTATTTCCCTGATGTATGTCCCATCTATCAAGTTCCTCATATTTTCAGAATTTTCTGTCCAGGTGGAAGTTGGTCTGGTCTCTCCCATAGTAGGCTGTTGCTGATGGTATCCAGTCAATGGATATTGAGTATCTTACGTAGACAATTGTCTATAAATACTTTTTTTAATGACGGTTTTGATTGTTCTCCAGGTTTTAGCTCCGTATACTGGAACTCTTTTGACCTCCGTATTGAAGATTGGGACGTTGATGTTGGTTGACAGTTGTTGTGAGTTGCATATGTTCTTCAACTGTAGGAATGCTGACCTTACTTTACCAATCCTTGAGTTTACGTTTGTATTAGATCCTTCTTATTCATCGATGATTCTGACCATGTACGTGAAAGTTCCCACCTCTTCTAGTGCTTCTCCACCAAGTGTAGATGATGGCAAATATTAGTGAGAGAGAGTGGGAGCGTAACTGAATGTTCACTCTTTTATATGCAATTTTCCAAACGTTATCTCATGGAGCTTGGTCTTGATGTTTTGGTTTTATTCCCGTATTGGAGTAGCTTGGCGTACTTAGTATGTTGTATGTCACCATCAGATCACCTCTTATTCTCCTACAGCTCGACGAAAACGATAGCAGGTGTTAGTGCCTGTCCTCGTAAGATTCGTGTTTTACCCAATCATACCCTTAGTTCCGGGTTTATACAATTAGTCCAGGAGATTTATACCTTTTTTGAAGAAATGAGGTGCAAGGATATTTCGAAACTTAAGTTGAGGCAGTGCGCATTCCTTAAACAGTTTGAGGAGAAACTCTGAGGTGACTGAGTAGAGTTTCATTTGAATAAAGTGAACAGTTACGTTTAACTTGACTGTATCCTCCACGAATTTTGAGCCAGTGTATAAGTTCTTTATAGTTACATGCTCGTGATCACGCTCTGAAGAGACCATCGGGAGTGGATTTCTATGGCAGATGTAAGTCTTCTGCGCTAAATAAAGCAGAACGTTCATGAAATAATATTTCGATATGTTGTGGCGGCCCATTGGATCTGACTCCAGTTTAGATTGTATGGATGTTTGTTATCACCTATTCTCGTATATAATCGTCGACTTAATCGCGTTAGCCAATAACGGAATTAAATAAGTCGATAACGAGAATTGATTTGTGAATACATATATTTTGTATATGAAGTGAATGAAACAGAGCCAAGCAAAATGACGCGTATGGAAGATGGCTGGGAAGCCAACTCCATTTTAATTTAGTGTTACTCAGTATTTATAGGCGGACAAAATAAACTACAGACATGTGATGAATCATGGGATATGAAGTGTACACACATATACGCTCATGTGAAAACAGTCAAGGCTAATAAGCGAATAATTGACAAGGTCAAAATATGGCTCAAGTAAAATGAATAGAATGGGATGTCCGAAAGCTAAAATAAGGTATATGGGCTTGGCATAATAACTGACACTACAATGTTAAGCTTCACCCCATTGTCTGATGCCTATTCCTCTTTTATTGTAAGGTTCTTGTTAAAACCAAATGGATCATTTTCAATTTTATAGATCTCCAGATATTTGTGTCGTCTGCACAGATCAGTACTGCCAAGCCAACTTTGTCTAACAGGTTGTTAATAAAGATTAAGAACAGGAGTGGACCTAAAATTGTTCCCGATGAAACTCCTGATATAGAGACCTCCAAACTCATGTGACTTCTATTTAACTTCATACAAAACATCCTATTCTCTGGTGGTTTTCGAGCTGGGATGAATTTGAATTAGTGAAACACATCTTTGCAACCTTCACTTTGAGTAGTACATGAGACTACGTGTCAAAGACTTTCGATAAATAGAGGAATCGTACATAACTCGGTACCTTTTAGTCCCGGAAGGTCATCCAGATTCTCCAGGCTGTGAGAAGGCTTCATGGTGAACATTGTTTTTACTCATAAATTCGCTTATTTGCTCACTGACTAGTCCTTCCATTAATTTTGACACTACTGAGATTAATGCCTCTGAGTTCTACATGCTGGGTCTTCTCTACATCCTCCTTTGAAGATTGACGTTTAATGAGCTTTCATTCTCTTGCCAACTGGTGTGACCTAAGTGAGCTTTTGAACAGGTCACACATTGATGTTGATACTGTTTCAGGATTAGAGATCGGATGTTGCTTAACACGCAGACATCTTAGCCTTTTGTATTAACCCAAGAGTTAATTAGACAACTCACAGGCCCACAAATAGCGCTAATGTTGATAGGTGTTCTGTGCCTTCAAGCTTCTAGTTTAGTTAGTCCATTAGCTTGACGTTACAAAACTCTGCCACCTTTAAATTATTGAGGAATTGCCACTCGGCCTTTCGAAAGTAGAGATACTCTGGTTTATAGGCTTTCCCCTAATGATGATTCGGCAGAAATATTAAGAGTTAGTTTGTTATTCGGTTGATAGCTTGCCTTGAACACATCTCGTATTGCTGCGAACTTCAGCGATGAATCTACTTCTCAATGTCAAGTGAAAGCAGCAATCAGAACATTTTGGTGAGACTTTTTATTTTTACTGGGCTCTTTATTTGGTCTGTGACAAAAGACACATACCTTGCTCAACCCAGAATCTCAGGTGTAGCCTAGATGAGGATTATTCTCGGCCCCCCGAAGTAATTGGCTTATGACCATCTTAACCATAATTGTATGACAGTCACTACTTCGGTAAGTAGTCACCAGGTAGTAATATTCGGACAAACCGCGGGTATAAAAGCTTTAGTATCACAAGTACCACCTCATAGTATGATATCCCAACAAATTCTGCTGTTAATGAAAGCTCTATTTGAATTTAACTGCAGCATATCCAACATTTGTATCATCTACCCTAATTACAGCAATTAAAATATTCGGAACGTCTCTGACAGTGCAGTTTTTAAGTAGCCGCATGTGCTAGTCCATGGCGTGTGACCAATTAATGCGCCTTCCTTGTTCCTGAAATTGACAAGGGTCGGTGAACTGTCCGACACTCAGCGATCCGAATGCAGAATGCTTTGTCTAGAGCCCGGTGACATTCCGCTGATCTTGCATTACCATTCTCAATAACTTTGGAACTACCTTCTGATCATTAGAACTAGATTTGTGATTAGCCTTTGATTGGTAGAACCATTAAAAATCTATATTTTAGCTCACATCATTTGTGATCAGTCTTCAGGAAACGTGGTCGAAGTTTTGGGTAGACATACATTTGTGGTTAGGGCCCAATGCCACTATACGTCGGGCTTACCCAGTACAGAATTATGGTCTACTATGATATTAGTACTGCTCTAATAGTAGACCTGATCCTAAGTTTGTAGATTTGTCATGATGTAACTGCCTAATCTATAATATCTTACGTGGAGGTCACATCATTGTCCACACCAACTCATCGCATCGTAACAATCACCAATATATGATGGAGAAAAAACTTGGGCCAGAGATAGAACAATATATTCTGTATGAATGAAAGATTATGTGACAACACTTAGGGGTGACTACGCCTGCAAGGCCGAGCCATGCCGTCCGATCAATCCGAATTAATTCAGTTCATTTTCCCCGTCTTCTCCATCGTTGAGTTTTTCCACGTTAGATGTAAAATATCAACCTTTCCAGTTGTTTCGCCTTCAGCTTTGAGGGTTGTGTGGTAAGGGCCCAATGCCTCCACACATTCGGATAAGTAGTGACCTTGTGGTAGTGTTGAGTCGCAGTTGACTATGATCACCACTGCAGATCGATTACGTGCCAATTACCAGGTTAAATCCCCCCGTAGGATAACTATTAGAAGGGCAGTTTTGGATTGTAGTTAAAATATATTTGTTGGTGATCTTGTGGTATCGAAACAATATTGAAATCATGCAAAGTTTACAAACGAGACTACCGTGCGTACGTAAGTTCAAGACACAAACAACGGAAAAAGTCCGTTTTTGGTACAGTTAAACGAAAAGGTACACTAAAACAATCACTGGTACAGTTGGTTAAAATAACTGATGTTTCCATTACAACAACCGCGTTCTCTTCATATAAGTAGATCACTACAACCTAATAATCGAAAGACGGATAGAGATGCCACAAATATTCGACTTGTGAAAACGTCTTAACTAGTAGCACCCTTATAGTCGAAGTATGCCAACCCAGTAAATCAGGAATGAAGGAGTCCGAAGATATATTCGGAACACTATTGGTGTGTCGGGGGAACATTTTGTCTAAGCTGGCTAG